CACACACACACACACACACACACACACACACACACACACACCCTAACAGTCATTTGCAGAGGCAGCAGGCTGCCTCTCACCAGGCTGCTTCCTGAAGGGTGGAAGCGGGGCCCCTGCACGGGGATGCTCCTAACGGCCTCCAGGGGTCTTTTGGAAAATTAAAGGCCATTTAATTTCACTGACGCTGAACTCATTGCACATCTCCTCCCCTGCGACCCCAGCTACAACACAAACAAGATGCTGCTACAGTATGAAGCATCTGCAGGGGTACAGTTTAGTTTCTTACTTTTTRCCCCCAAACTCTTGCAGTTGTAGGACCTGGCCTCGCGTGCAGATGTTTTATTTTAATTACATGTTTTCAGGGCAGTGAAACGTACAGATGACAGGGAGCAAACTGACTTAAGCAGAAGAAACCTTTATTTTAATCTCAGCCTCAAGTAAAACAGACTTAACTTAAACATTCATTTGTAAGTTAAATGTGCCAAATGAAATAAATCACACACACAGTAGTAAACATTAGTTAAAAAAAATGCAAACAACTTGGACAGACATATCATCTGAAGAATACAAATATCCTGACAAGTCAGGAGCCCTAAAACAGAAAAATACTCATTGAATCACATGAAACTCTCCCATTCTGCAAGACAAATGTTCTACTGAGCCTCAATGCAGCAGCTTTAGATATTTACAAAACCTTCTTTTGGCACATCCCTCYATGAGATCAGCGATAGAATCAACTCAGGAAAAGATGACTTTGCCCTCAGTGAATCTGAAGTCCTGACATKATTTTTGTAGTTGAGATTAAAATCAGGAAAACACTCAGCTGCATTAATACTTCCACTTTTTAACATTTTGCTACAAGCAGCAGCTGCATGGCTCAGATCAATAACAGAGCATTCAGATCAGTTTTATTTCACACAAACACAGAAAAAAAAAAAACTCAGAAGAGATTAAAATGTACAGATAAGAGACAGTGTGAGTTTAAGTTCACCATGCCAAACATGCTTCCTTTCCAGTGTATAATCATTTAATAATAAATAGGATTTTCATGTTTGAAGTAAAATGTTTGACTTTTCAACAAGAGTTCTTGTCATATCGTTACACTGCTCTACTAAAACTGAAACCCATAGAGATAACAATCAGTCCCTACACCACCAAAATAAATAAAAATAAAAATAAAATCACTGTTTTGAACTTTTTTAAACCTCCTGGTGTTTGTTGCTTCTGTATTCCTAACACT